CAACAGAGAGGAGCGAACATGGGAACGATTCCCTTTCCTCCCGACTACACCAACACGGTGTGTGACCTTGCGAAGGAGACCCGGCCCTCCGAACAGGCTGGCCGTCGCCTGGGGACTTAAACAGCCGGCTGTCACGGCGGCCTGCGGTCCCACGGCCGGACACACCCGTCTGGAACGAGAGACCCCTTCCCAGCACCCCGCCAAGGGCGGCGGAGAGACTCCTCCCCGCCAGCCGCACGGCCCCGCGGGGACGAGCCCCGCCGCCCCTCCATCCCGGCGCCCGGCACGCCGGGAGCTGTAGTCCTGGCCCCCCTCCCCGCCCCACGACCTACTTCTCCCCGGACTGCGGCTCCCGGCGCGCCCCGCGCCCGGCCCGCGCGTCCCCGGGCGGGGCAGGCCACAAAATTTTCCAGCGCACATGCGCGCTGCGGCCCGCCCGCCCTTCCCGGAGCTGCCCACGGCCGGGAACACGCCCCGCGGCCCAGGACCGCCGGGCAGCCGCCCCCTTCTCCCCTTCCCTTCCCCTCCCTCTCTCTCGGCAGGGATGGGCGGGCGCGTCCTCACCCCGCAGCTGTTTCCCCCCCACGGCTGCGGGATGGAGTCCGGGAGGCCAGAAGCCCAGTAACCTTCTGTCTCTCTCCCCCGCCCCCACGCTTGTCCCCTTCGCCCCAGTGGGGCAGGCGAGGTAGCAAGCAAGGTTCTCAACAGAGCGAGTCGGATGCATGGGGATACGTCAACAAGGGCGAGCTCCTGGCCCCGCACACCCGCGGGGTATCGCAGATCGGGGTGTCCAGGAGAAATGGGGGGGCGACGGGGGGGGTGGGGGCAGCCCAGCCCAACCCCGACAGCGTCTTTGTTGTCGCCGGGCTTACTCCCCCTCGGAGCTCGTCGTGCATGAAAGGGAACACCCCGGCGACATCCCCGTTTCCCGGGAGCCCACCACCGCCCTCGGGCCCAGCCTGCCTTTTTTGGGGCTGCTAGGGCTGGGGCTGAGCCGCATCCCGCTCCCGCCCCCGCCCCTCAAAGTAGGCTGTGGAGAACAAAATGGTGAACTGGGGCACTGCAAAGCGTCCCTAACCCAGTGACTTTCACTTCCATTCTTCTCCCTTGAAGCCCCATTAATCCCCCCGGGGACCAGAACCGCACTTTGACTCCGCGGACGGGCAGATCGCTGTCCCTGGTGGGGAGGGGGACGATGAGCCCCCTCAGACCGAGCTCACAAAGAGGACGCGCTCTGGAGGGGTCCCAGCCCAAGAAGGAGTGTGAGGGAGGAAAGCAGCCGCAGCCCCAGCCCCACTTACTTCGTTCTCGGATCCAGGACCAGCGGCTGCTGGCGGCTGTCGCGGGGGCCGAGGGCGCTGCCGGCGGGTCTCGTCTCCGCTTTGCCCCGTCTCGTCCGTCCCCTCCCTCCCTTGTACCCGACGGCGCGGGGCGGGCCCGGTGCCGTGGCGTGGATGCCGCTGCTGCGCCCCCAGAGCCGCCCGCGCCCTGGCCCCGAGTGAGCCAACTCACGGCAAACTTTCACCCTTAGCAACCTCTCGGCGCACGGATCCGCTCCCGCCCCGCGTGATGCGGCCGCGGGGGGCGGGCCGGGACTACTTCCCCCTCCCGTCGCCGTCTGCTGCGCCCCGGAATGGATCGGGGGGGGACCGGACCGGTGGAGCCTCCTCTGCTCCCCCCTGAGCACCGGGAGTATCCCGGCTCCGAGCTCAAGGGAAGGAGGGAAGGGGCCGCGGCATTAGCGGGGATTGACCGCAGGATTTCCCCAAGTGGCTTAGCCTGAGGCGACGGGGGGGAATGGGGGTGGAATCGAACGGAGCGGGGAGAGACGGAACCGGCCGGTGTGGTGCCCGCCCCCACGCACCATGGATACGGTCAAGCCCCAGCTCAGTAGCAAGGCCAGCCCCGGGACTCCCGAAGGGACAATTCTCTGCACACCCCAAGCACGTCTGCGAATATCCCCGTGGTGGAGCCCCCCCACCCGCGACTGTGGAGGAGCTCGGGGAGACGTGCCCACGAGCAATCCTGGCTCCCTCCATCGTTGCAAAACCCTCGGGATTCCCGGTCTCAGATGCGGGCGGGGTGCTCGGGGGCTGCGAGCACATCTCCCCGGGGAACAACGGGGCAAGGCCAAACCCGGCGGGCTGGTATCACCGCGGGGAGGACAGTAGCAGCACGGCCACCTCCGCGGCCCCGAGACGCAGACAGAGACCCGCCCCCGGCACGCGCTCCCGCCTCCCGGATTATTTCGTCTCTGCACGCCTGTGTCCCTCCGCCTCCAAAAGAGCAGGGCCGGCCCCGCCGCGGCGGAGACGAGAGATCCGCAAGGTGCGCGAGCGCCGGCCGTGCTAAAAATAACTGCAGCGTGTTAGCAACAGCCTTCCCATTGGCTGGCCAGGCCCGGCGGCGCCTTCGGATTGGAGCGCTGCTCCAGCCAGTGAGCCGAAGGGGTGTGCGCGGTGGGCGCTGCCGGGAGATGTAGTCGCGGGGCGGCCGCGGCTTGCCCCCGTCCCGGGTGCTCTGCCCGCACCTCGGGGTGTTCGCGCGTTCGGCAGGGCTCGTTCGTTCAGGCTGCCCTGGGGAAGGACAGCCAAGGTGACGGCCATCCCTAGGGCTATGGGCCGATGGCGGCCAAACGCTGAGCTGCACCACCCACTGGCAAGCTGAAGGCACTCTCAGCCAGCACACAAATGGATCCGCACCCTTTATTTCAAAGCAGTCCCATTACTTGTTCCAGGAAAATGAAGAAAATGCCTACAGGCATCCCCAGGCCGTGTATGTTACAGTACAAAGTCACACCACCTTTCACACACACCATTTGCAAACGCTGCTTGCTGTCCACACTTATAGCAACTTTTGACCCAAGTAACACTCCAAACTAGTGGAAGGGACACCAAGAACAGTGTTTCCAGGCTCTCCCAGCCACGGGTCCTACATCTTCCTCAGTGTTGACACAAGCAGAGGGTGACACAAGCGTTACCACAGTCCCTGTTGCAGCAGGGTAGCTGGCCTGGCAACCATCTCCCAAGTGCAAAAATACAAAGTTCATCTCTTGTCCCATTTCCACAATAGCCTTCAGCCTTCTTCGGGGTTTGGTTTGTCTTCCTCTCTTATTCAGGAACACTTTACCTCAGGTACTGCCTTTGCCACAGAGAGCATTTCTTTTGAGGCCAGCCAACACTGTGTGTTAAGAAATCCATTAATGTTCCTTCCCAACCACAGCAGCCAGCCTTGCTCATTTTCCCACTGATTACAGAAAAAAAACCCAGTAACTTTTGAAGTTGTTTTTTTAATTTTTTTTCTGCAGGGAAAGGGGAAAGAAAAGAGAAAGATTTGAGAGCTATTATGAGCAGCCTTATTTTCGTCACTCCTATTTTAAAAGGAATTTAGTTAAAAAAGAACACCTTTTGGGTTTGTTTTTTTTTTTTTTCGATTATTCCCTTTGCTTTGCTGGAAGCAAAATCATACTGTCAGCCAGAGATCAGGAAATTAAAATGACTGAGCTATTTTTAGTATCATTAAACAAAAAAAGACAATTACATTTCTAAAATTCTATTGTTGCTTTAATAAGGTGTTAGTAAGAGGCTGTCACATATTGGGGCTCTTTAAAATACCTGTGCCTTGACCGTGCTCCTTAATTATGGCATCGCCCTTGTACACATGCAAGCAGAGGAATTCTGTCACAGTATCTGCTCCTGCATTCTCAACCATTTGGCTATTAAGTCAAAGCAAGGCTCCCGTGTCACGTGTGCATGGGGAGGGGAACAATTGCCTAGCCACTGGGACAGAGCTCATTTGGTTGGGCTATTTAATGCCAAGGAAGGGGAGTCAGGTTATAATTGGACATAATTAATATTGCCATACCCTGAAGCCTTTGTACATTCAATTCACGTGACAACCCCAAGGAAATGAAAAATTCTTTCCTGCTATTGAATGAGGCAAACATCTTCAGCTGATGTCTGTAATGAGAAAATAACAGCTTCTGTGCAGAAGGTTTCAGAAGTGAGATTTTGTCCATGCAGCTCCCACAGGAAAAGCTCACAGGCAGATTCCAAAACTCCACCTACCTTTTCTTTTTGTTTTGTCTCTTTTTAAAGAGAAAAAATGCCTGGGGCTCTAGGGCTTTGTCAAGACAAGGTCTAGATGGTTCAAGGAAGTGGATGTATGTTACAGAGCTATTTGCTGAGCTCAGCTGTAGTTGTGGCTGGCAGTTGGTCTGAAGGGGTGTGTAACGGGGAACACCTACATTTCAGAACAGAGCAATGCCTTGTTAGTACTGGCAACGGAGGCCAATTTCTTAATAGGCCAAGAGGTCCTACATTCTCTCCTTCAATGTAAATATTTAAAATTGAAGGAGAGGTGTTTTTTTTTTTACTTGTTATGCAACATTTTAATAAAAAAATTATAACACTACCTAGAAAAGTAACGGCAGGAAGATACATTTAGCTCCATGCATTAGGATTTGAAGACAGCACCATGGGGGTTCAGCTGCCAGGTTGATAAAGCTGTCCCTGTCTCTCCCATCCTTCCCTGCTGTTACCATGCAAGTACTTTGCAGCTGGCAGCCAGGGAGCCCCCAAATCTGGCTGCATAAAACTCCATGGATGGATGAAGTCCTTCCAAGACTTGGCCTGCACACAGCAGCAGGACGTGTCTTGGCTCATATTTTCCCTGCGGGGAAGCTTGCCCTTTTAGCATGTGTCCTGGTCTCCAGTACTGCAAGGCAATCTCCTCCTTGACAAGTACTTTAAAATCTATTTAGGTGAAAAATAATGCACTTTTCTAGAGGCCCTGCCTAGGTATCATCTGCTGGTGCACAGAAAACATTACCAAGCAAGCAAGGTCATGTTTTTCTGGGCTACACAAATGTGTCTATTACCCTTGTTGGAATTAGCAGCTTCAGGGCAATGTCCCATCCATGCTCTGAAAGTACCAGAAAGGCAGTGGCACTGAACTGATCTGAGCACCAGCAGCATTTGGCATGCTCCCCAGAGCTGTCTGCGCAAACAAGGCAAAGGGGAAAAAGCCTGTCCCTCCCTCCCTCCACCTGCCCAGTGACTCAGAACAACTAGAAATGGCAGCTTAACTCTCAGAATACAGACAGATATATCCAGCAGTCAGCGTGAGGGCATCAGGAGTGCCAAGAAAGTGAGTATGTTCAGCTGTTTTTGGGGATGGGGGAAGGGACGGGGACACTCGTACCTCTACAGCAAGCCCTGCCTGGCTGATCCTGCTAAATGATTAGGAACAAGGGGTGCTCTAAAATTAGGGTGTATTGGTTCTGAGACAAAAAATAATTCCTTACTTCATTTCCCTCTACTGAAAAACTTTGTCATCTTCCAAATTTCTGGGAAAGGAAAAAAACGCATACAAACCTTCTGCATTCCTAGTGAGATAATTTGGGTGGCCTGACTGAGGGTAAGTGATAAATTCTGGTTGAAGTGATAAAGTTCCAGGTACAACAAATCTGCATGTCATGGCCTGCTTTTAAAGAAACACAGAATTTAAAATGGCCGATATTAGCTCTGACATGGACTTTCTGGTCTGCAGAGGCAGTTGCTTATTCCCACAGAACTGCTTTGGGAGAACAGGTTTGCTGTAACCAATGAGCTAGATTGCTCTGAACATCTTGGCAAATGGCATCCATCAGAAGCTGTGCAGGGAAAAAGACATACCGATACTCTCAGAACTGCAAAAAGCTTGAAGAGAAACTCAAGAGAATAGCTGGGGGCAGGAGAGGGAGGAGCAGCTGGGGTAGCTGTAGGGCCAGTGGCAGCTACAGCCAGTTGCAGCAGGGAAAAATTACTTTTGACGGGAGGAAAATCACAACTTCTGTACTTTTCACTTTTATCCAAATGGTTGGAGCAGGTAGAAGAGGTATTTAAGCCAAGGAGTAGTTAGAGGAATTGGTACTAGCCTCAAGCAAATAGCTGAAATCTTGGAAGGGGAACAAAAAAAAAAAGGTTTTGGGACTCTGCACCCCAAAACTGAACAAAGACAACTGTGTTAGTGTAGCACACGCTCTGCTCAGACTACAAGCGCTTGAAGGACTGCAGGGCACACTGAGCCAGGACCCTGATTTAACCATCTGAGGAGTACACACCCATGGGGAACTCAGTTCCGCCTCTGCACAAAGGCGCCTGTTCCCAGATCTCTGCTGAGCCAACAGACTGCTTTTAGCCTCTACTGGTATTTGACAAACAAGCAGCCTCTGGTTTCCAGCACGCACACGGCCAATAGCCCAGAACACAATAGTTGGTTTCCCATTACAGCAGGGAAGGCTTTAACTTATTCACAAGAACAGGATAGCGAGTCAAATAGCTTAGGAGGTTTTAGAAAGGGATTGGATGTTTGCACGGTGAAACAACATCCACAGCCGTATTAGCCGGGGTAAGGGTTACAAGCTCAGCGATCCTCATGCTACGGGACAAAATGATCAGTGGCTGGGATCACAGGCAGACAAAAGCAACAGCCGTTCCCTGAAGCTCCTTGCGGCAAGGTCACGTGGCCATAAGCAGACACTGTCAGAAACCAGATAACCCATTGTGAAGTGCTAGCTGGGCTAATCCTCCCTGTCCCCAGAAAGCTCCAGAGAGGCTAGCACAGAATGAACCAAACAGAAATCCTAGTTGTACCAAAAATAAAAACCCAAAAGAAAAAGCTTTATTGGTGTGCATCCTACAGAAACGGTTACAAGAAATGGCCTTGGATTTATCTGTCAAAGAAAACATGGAACAGCTGTGCTCTCCCTAGGAAGGTACCAGCCATGAGCAGATTCCTTACAAAACAGGGCAGCGTGGAAATATACTGGAGGAAGGGAGGAGGGGAGCAGATTGGTGTTTTGTTCTTCAACACCAATGGTTGGGGCAATTTCAAACAATTGAGAGGAGGCCCAGTAAGAACAACCTCAAGGTATTTCTCCACACTACAAACAGCACTTTCCATTTTAACATGGCTCCTGCTATGTGTAAGTGCTTGCCCATTCTGCTTTGTATAGAGTTGGGGCAACTACTAGCAGAGCTTCTGCAAAGGCAAGAGACAGTAATCTTCATTTGCCCTCCCTCATCATTGGTTCTCATCAGGTTTCAGTCCCCACTCAGTCTGTTATTTCTCCAATCCTAAGTATATTACTGAATTTGTATTGCTTTAGAAAAAAATAATCAGCCAGTTTTCAGTAAGAGTAAAGTCCAGAGATGTTCCAAGACCCTCTTGCCAACCCAAGAGGAGGTAGCCACATATGAATAGGATCACCTCTTCTTGAAGCCATACTTTTTCCTTTCATAGAAAAGATCTGTCTTGGAACTGCCCAGGTTGACGATCTTAGGGCAACCATCTCTCTGTAAGAAAAGAAAATGCAAGTTAGGAAATAGGCAGAAAGAACAACATCATAGTTGTAGTAAGTTCTCAGTTCCCACACACCTCGCCCTGTCCTCAACACATTTCATACACTTGTACAGACAAATTGCTCTCCAGTGCTGGTTACCAGTAAGACAGTGGTCTAAGAGAAGAGGATGGATGTCATTTCAGCATTACTGTAGGACACGGACTCCCTCAGGGCCAAAATGGAAAACAGCTCATATAACATCAGCCATTTAATGAAAAGGATGTGCTGTGCCTCAAGACTGAATTCTTTCTAAATCAGGATATGCAGGACCTCTAGGGCCCAGAGGAATAACCTTTCCCCTCCTTAGCCAAGAAGAATTTTGCTGCTCTAGATGTCACCAAATCATTCTTGTGTTTAGGAACTCCTCAGCAGTGACAGCAGAACTGAATTTCAGATTTCTTCTATCCTGGATCGATTACTGCAGAGGTTGTAGGGTCATCTACTCACAGCAGCTACACAGATTAAGTTCTTGTACCTGAATTCCAGTAGATGGAGAGAAAAAAAGCCTCAAGAAAAGCAAGGAGCATAGGGGAGACCATCCTGAGAGGTGTGGTTGCAAAACCAAATTAGAAACGCCCTCTTGGTATACATGGGAACATTTCCTCATGAGTCACCTGAGCCCAGCATCTGCATAATTCTTTAGGGCAAAGCATTCTGGCTGGCCACAGCAGTTGTGAGGGATCCAGCAGGCAGTGGAACACGTGTCCCAAGTGCATTAGATTTAGAAAGCCCCTGGGCAGACGTCAGATGCTGTAAAATCTGCACCCAAGCTGCCTGGCTCCCATGCCAGAAATGCAATCTGGTGGGGAGGATCTGCATGACAGGAATGACAGGTGAGGTGGGGAACAAAAATCATCCCTCCCTCATACACCTGCCACGACCCATTTCTAGCTACTGTCTCCTTATTTCATTTTGAACCTCAGTAGCAGGACTTTCAAGACTTGCCTCCCACAATCCATGGAGTCTGTTCAAATCTTGACAGCCTTATTGCAGGGCTCTTGTTCATTCTTCCACCTCCTCCAAGGATGCAGCTCATGAGCACCCTCCTTTCTCCAAGAAAAGATTACTATTTGCAACTCACAGATATCCTGGGTGACAAGGTGGGATGCAGGCCCTTATCCACACATTGAAGTGGGCTGAAACAATACTTCATTCCTTCCTCCACCAGAATAAATGAACCAACAGTAACCAGGTCCTTTACTTTGTGCCCAATAGCATTCCATCTCTGCCATCCACTTTATTTGCTTTCTTGCTTCACTATCTTTTCCAGTCTTTCTCTGAAGATGATGAAAGTGCTGTGGCTGAAGCCTTGAACTGTTAAAGCTTCAGGTACAGAGCTCTGCCCATCTGGTTTTCTTATTCACATCAGCACCGGATACCATAATTATGATAGGCAGCAGCATACTTAATTTTGCTCCTTCTGGGCTCCCTACGCTTGTGCCAGCATTTTTCAATCCTGCAACAAATCATGTCAAATCTGCTGCTTCAGATCTGCAATTTCACATCTGCAATAATACATAACATCTGAGTTTTCAGCTATGAAGCAACTTTCTTCACTCACAACAGTATTCACCCAGGTGTCAAAATAGACACCCAGACCTGTTATTCTTCTCTAGCTCTATGTTTTCTATAGTCCTCCCTGACATAGCAGCTGATTATTCCACACCTGAACCAAACATAAAATGTAGGTAATCTCAGGTTGTGAAAAACACTTGTTGGCAATCCCTGTGAATTGATAAAACTAGAATCAAGCCTATTTTACTCATGACTTATAAAGCCAGGCATCTTCATTCCAAAGGCAAGTGAACAAAACTACTGTTTCTCACAGCATTTATAAAGTAGGAGGCAGCACCCCATCAAAGCACTTATATCCATATTTAGATACAGAGAAAGATTATGGTCCTGTTAGATCTAATGACTAAACTCAAAGGAGGACCTGCTCCTGCTCTGGATTTAACTGCAGGCCTCTAGAGAAAACAGGCACTACGGAGAGTTAAAGCAGCAACTCACTCAGCTGAGGACACTCCTGTAAACCACTCCGAACCACTCTCTCAGCACGTTCTTCACGGTCATTAAGGGTGTGTAGGAAACGACATTTGCAAAGTACCAAACTACTTTTAAGAGACACTCTCACAGCTACCAGACCTATATTCTGGGATAGCAGAACTGTAAGCATCATGTTCTTGTTCTCCTGTAAGGTCTTTCTAATGCTTTGTTGCAGTTCATGTCCTGCACTCACTGTTTTGGGTTATTAACAAAAGCCGTATAAGGAATGAACAGCTGCCTCATTTCCCACGTGCAATGGCTTTCAGCACAATATTGTAAAAAGATGATAGCTCTGGCTATAGACAAAAGGGAGCATAACACCAAAAGCATTATCTGAAAGAGAAATATCTACAATGCAGACAATTCCAGAAAAGAGTAAGAAAATATAAATTGTATCCCACTGAAATTATACAGGAAGCATCCAACTTGTGAAACACAATTACCAGTGAAGCCACTGGACACAAAGAACCAACTTTACCTTGTTATTCAAAGGAAAATAAAGGTTTTGATTCCACAGGCCTTATAGTACCATATGTACTCTTAATCAGTGGCTCATAATGGACTTCTAGGGAGGAGCTGCTTCTGCCACTGCCTTGCAGTGTCCTGCAATATTTCTGACCCTGGTGAAACCTAGGCTGGAGCTGTAGTAAAATAACCACCTGAAGTGGTAACAAGCAGTGTGTGGAGGAAATGAACTGTGAATGTGCAAAAGAGTCAGAGATCCTTAGAATGAAGAGCATTGCAATACCTCAAAATGCTTTGCAAACACAGAGACCTATCAACAGGGGAATAAAAGTTTCAGATATTGCAAATGAGTGCAGATTGTCCTAGTAGTAATTACAGCAGCTCCAAGCCCCTTAAAGGTAAGCATAACTACTATGTAGCTGGGATGGCAACTTACATCTTTTTCCTGGATGGTGCACTCCTTGCAGTAGTAGGCATCGGACACTCCGGGCCCCCCACAGATGACGCATCGGCCCTGGTAGGAGCCATAGTTACACTCGTCACAGATGCGCACCAGGGTGCAGGGCCGCACGTAGGAGTCACAGATCACACACTTGCCATCACCTGCCAGCACAGCAAAGCCTTTGGTTACAGAATGTCCTTTCTGCCACCTCCACATCAGAGGAAAAGCTTCCTGGTCCAATAACTTCCCTGTGCACTCAAAGTGCTGAACTGCAGAAATGTGCTTGGCAGGCACAGGGCACAACTTTGTACTGCACACAGACTTGAGAGGAACAAGGCCATGGCCCACAATATTTGAGTTTTTTTTTTTTAATTTAGTAATTTGTTCACTGTCAGAGAAGAAACCCAAAATTACTTGGATAACTACTTTGTGATTAGTCAAGACTTGCTTAGATTGTACCACTACTTTTACTCTAAAACTTTTCCTGACTTTCATTTGCAAAGAAAAAAAGCCAGAGTGACAGAACTAGAGTCCTTACCTACACAGAAACTGCAGCGTAAGCTTCTCCACAGTGACAAATCAACAAAAGTCTGGAGTTACTATGCTCAAAGAGATAAGAGATTGTACTCATGGTCCCTTTAATCCTTCATCTGTGACAAGGTCAAAGGAAGGGCAAACTGGCATAAGCAGCCATTTCACAAAAGTTACTCTTACGCTCTCACAAGGAACTGAGTGAAATTCAAGTACTGATATCATACAGGCAAGGAGCCATCAGATGCCAGTAACAGTTTCTGCTGAGCTGGACCTTAACGAAAACACTGACCTACGGATGAAAGGCTTCATATCCTATTACCAGTTCCCAAGGTATCTAATCCTGACTCCCACAAACAGCTTGCCTAACCTGCTCTTAAATCTCTGGTGTGACAGCCCTCAGCTACTACCAATGGGAATCTGTTTCACTGTCAGGTGCTCTTGAAAATTGCTTCTTGCTTTAGACTCTCCTTCTCCCATTTTACTTATTCTCACACTATTTTATTTGAGTCACAAACTACTCCCTCATTTGTTCTGTTCCCCTCAATGATCTAATGACAGATCACAAGGATCTAACAACAGATCATACTCTTTCTTCCCTTTCACAGATAAGCATTTGATTCCATGGGTGTTTTTCCTGCTCTAACTTCTGACATTTGCCCTCCATTTTTTCTTCTCCTAGATGCTAATGGAGACCTTTCTTACAGTATGATGAAGCCAAAACCCAAAAATGCATTTTTCCCCCTCCTTTAAAATGATCAGGATGATATTTTGGTATTACAGATTACAAGGATCCAGTGAAACAGCCACTGTAGCCTCAGCCACTAGAAATGATGGCAGCAGGTACACTACAACTGCATTTGTGTGAGAGTCTGTTTGAGCTTGCAACTTTTTAAGTATTCCTTGAGCTACACTTGCAATGTTACGGTAATTGTTCCCTTTTCAAAGGGTGACATTAAGTTTGGGGTTAAAGCAAAAATAGAATCCAACCTTCAAACCCAAACTACACGCTCTAACCACAACACTACATTCTCAATCAACTAAATGTGGTTGATATACTTACATTTTTCACAGAGTCTTCCGATTGCTGGGGATAAAAAAAGAAAAAAATTATTTGAGGCAAGAGAAAAATCTAAGCAAGTACAAGCTTGAATGTCAAATTATTATTTTCTGCAATAAGCAGTCCTTAAAAAAAATGAAAGGCTAAACTATAGAAACAGTTTGAGCATAAATAGATACATTCATGATAAACAACATATATCCTCCTGGAGAGATTTACCAGAACCCAAGATGCACTATACATGCACAATGATATCCCTCTGCAGTAAGAAAACCTACATTCATCATTCCATTTCAAACACAGCCAGTGTATCTGACTGAAGAAAATGTACATGAGTCTTGTCACAGCTTTTACACTGGTTTTAGTGGGGGGAAAAAACCAAAATCAAGTGTTTGTTTCAAGCCATCCAAATACCTTCTTTGCTTTAGAACATGAAGGTAGTTAAATGTACCTGAGAAGTCTTCTCACTTGTCTGGGACACTCACAACAATGTTAGGAACTTGGATAAATTTAATAAATATTGAGTTTCAAAGACTAGACGTGCACATCAACGAAGACTAAATACTGATTTGTCTGAAGTCTGAGAGAAAAGGGATTTGTCAGGACGTGACTTTTCAACATAGACAAATGGTTAGAAGCACTGACTATTCTAAAAAGAGATGTGCAGCTGAATGCTTTGCGTTTCTGGATCTTGCAGAAAGCTGCTCGTTAAATGTGCTTTTCCAAGGAGTGACAAAAACCAGGAAGGGATACCTCAACTTCTAATCTTGTATAAGAGTTCTCTGAACCTTGACCCAAATGCTGACTCGGGTGCGACAAGGATAAACCCCGTTATCTGTATTGCAGGAATAACCCGGAAGAGAACTTTTGTCTCGCAGCCAGAAAGATGCTCCCAAGTGCTGCTGGATCCACAACGCACGGCGGGGCATCAAAAATAAAGGAAAATAAAAGGAAAACAAAAGAGGGAGGGAGGAGCGGGTGGCGCGCCGCCCCTCCCCCTCCCCCGCCGGGCCTAACGGCCGCGCGCGTGCCCGACGGCCGGTAAGGCGCGCGCGCCTCCCGCTCGCCCCGCGGCCCGAAAACGGGGGAAGGAGCTCCCCATTCGCATCCTCCCATCCCCCGGGACCCACCGACGCCGGCCTGCTTGCGGCAGAAGATGAGGTCCGGGTGGTGCTTGGCCATGGCGAGGCGACACCCGCCCGGCGCTGCTGCTGCTACTCCTGCGGCCCCGCGGAGTCCTCACCGCCGCGCCACCCCCGGGTCCTGGCCGGGGTGAGCGCAGCGCCTGCCAAAGCGCCTCCCCCGAGCGGGAAAACGCCGAGGGATGCCGAAATAAACCCTCCCCCTAAAGCCACCCCATCTTTAACCTTCCCCCTCCCCGAGCAGCCCCGCGTGGCAGCCGACGACCCTCTCCTGTCGCGGGTGTCTCCCTGCCAGGACCCGCGCGGCCACGCCCCCGCGCGCGCACCGGAGATGTCAAAGGGGCCGCGTGACGCCATCGCGGCGCGACTCCATCTTTGTCAGTGAACAAAATGGCGCCGTACTGCGTGCTGGCGGCTCGGCTCAGGGTGAGCGGCGGTGGCGGGCGGGGCAGGCAGCGGGCGGGACGGGCGCAGGGAATTGCGGCAGGGACAAGATCACTGCCCGCTGGGCGGCCACGAGGGCGTCCGCTCGCCCGTAGCCTCGGGGTCAGGCCGTCCCCGCCTCCGCGTGTAGGTCAGCGTGTCCCCGCTGCGGCCCCACGCCCTGTTTCCATGGCGATGGTGGGGCAGCCGCGGCTTTGGCGGCGGCTGCGTGGCCGCTGCTCGGGCTCGGGTGCAGGACGGCTCCCGCTACCGGGCCCGGCCGGCTGTCAAGGTGAGTGCAAGGTGAACGGGGCGGCGGGGACGCGGCCTGGCGCCGCCGCCTCCCCCGTCTGCCCGGACCCCGCTGTGGTGGACTGCAGCCGCTGTCAAAGCCTCGGGCCTAACAGGGCAGTGAGCCCGAGGGCGCGGGCCCGAACGGTGAAATAAAAGGTCTTTCCCCGGGGCAGGCATTTTTCTTTCCCTCGTCTTGTATTACTTCCCCTATGGGCATGCGGGAGCACAAGGTGACTCCTTATTGTGTGAGTGAGCTGTCTTTTGGCTACTTTGCTTCAAAAATACTTCTTTTAATACAAACAGAGGCTCCTGGGTGACAAAGGTGCCAGCCTCTCTGTATGGGGAACTAGGACAGCTGAAGAAGCAGGCAGGTCAGACACATAAATTGCCTTTTTTCCTGGGGCTGTGGTAGAAGCTCTCACAGTCTTGACTGTCATGACCTCTAAAACTCACCTTTGCCAGTAATATGATCTTGTCCCAGAGATTGCCTTCCTTGGAAAAGACTTTGTTGAGTTTAGTGTCTACTCAGTAATAAAGTTTTCATATCTTTTAAAGCCTGTAAGGCAAATACCAGGTGCAGTTTTCTGTTTAGGGCTGCTAAGGGATAAGGAAACCTTTGCTCCCCTCTGATAAAGGCCGGCAGTGGAACTTCTCAGTTTGCCACTTTTGACCTTGGCCAATGTGTTCCCCTTTCCTAGGGAACTGAAGTAAGAATTTGGTTGGCTTTTAGTATTCTAAAAGTATTTTTTGAATCTTAATTACAGTTTGCTTATTAGGTTATTGCTGTCTTGCTTTAGAGGTAGATGTTTTAGAAAAATATAGTAGTTTTTAAATTTAAATGAAAGCTACAGAATTATACCATTTTGGTTAGGTTGGTATATTTGTTCTTACTTAGTTACTTGTTCTTAAATAGTTTTTAGTTTGTACTTTGAACAGAAATGACTGCTCATAAAATGAAGGCAAATCTTTTATTAGGGTAATGAATTGGTTCTTGTTTTATGCTGTGACATTGCATGAGAACAAGCAGTCATTTGCTAAAATTAATATTGTATTATGCAAAACAAAGGCTATGCTGGCATAGTTGGTATGGGAAATTTAGTATTCCAGGAGGTTGTCATCTATTATTAGGCTCAGGGTCCATATTTATTTCCTCCCTGTGAAGGACTAAATCTGTGATGTTAATCAAACAAGTGATGTCTTTAGGAAGCTCCTGTGGAGCAGCCTAGAGGTTAATGAATATGAGCATCATCTTGTAAATTACTGTGATAGGGCCAGTATTGACCATGGCACATATTACTACTATTGGTTCTGCTTGCCTCCTGTCCTGGAACTGTTTTGGAAGTGGAACTGCAGAGAAAGCTTGCCTCTGAAAGAAATAAATTGGAATTAGCCTGATTTGACTGTGCTATTTGTAGTATAGTTCTAATAGCCTCAAAGAGTCAAGATCTCTTTTCTGCGTACCTGAAATAACACTTTCCAGTAGCATTCCACTTTTTGAGCCATGTTGCTTGAAGATTGACTGAAAGGGAGCACTGTAAAGCTCTAAACTACCTGAAATACCAGGTTTATTGAAGGCTTGTGGGTAAGTACCAAAATTATACATGGACCGCTATGTGTATCTGGCAGAAATGTTGGCCAGGGCTAAACTGATCTTCAGAACCATAATTTTGGTTGCTATTTTGAGGTGGGTCCAGAAAATGAGCTTGCATTTACAATTTTATTATACCACACTACTTTTTTTTTTTTTTTTAGGCTGAATCATTGCGAAAGTTGGAAGCTTGTCCAATGTTCTTAGATCAGGAAAGATGGTATTTTGGGTTTCAGCTGGGATTTCTAGGACAGATTTCCCAGACAGAAGTGTACATAACACAGTTGCTACTCTTTTGAATATGAGCTTTTGCTCGCTGGACTTGTTTGCCGTATCGGCTCCCAAAATGCAAGTTATTTTCTGAATTCAGACTCCCCTTGCACCTGGAACATTCACAGTAGTGAACTAAATGCATGACAGCTACCTTAAAATTTATAAAGAGCAGTGTTAACTTCCTCACAGAGATTTCAGAAATAATGACCCATTTATTTGCTTTCTTCTGTCTTTAAAGGAAGTTTTTCACCTCATGAAACACCAATAGGCTTAGGAGTTCTGTAATGATTACTGCCATTCCTTTTACTGAAATTTGAACAAGGACACTGCAAACTGGAATAAGGGATTCAGTGCCAGGTGAGAAGAGGTCATTTGGCAGCTGTTTGGTCAGTTCCTGGATAAAAAGGAAAATTTTTAGATTGGTGGCTGCCTACTTCTCTTGGCTCTTGGACTAAAGGCACTTCTCACTACTTACTGATAAAACATGGAAGTCCCTGCGAAGCACTTGTAGATTCCCTCTCAGAGAAGTGTGAAAGGGAATGAAACTGGGAACTATCAGGCTTGTGACTTGTCCTTAATCTTGCAGCTCTGCACCCTGTTTCTGAGGATGCAATAGGAGAAGGACAAGCATGGAGAACAGACAGGTGTGATGAGTGATACAGTGTAGATTCTTTGTGAGGAGGGATCAGACTTTTGAACCAGGCAGTTTATACTTGTTGCTTAGTGGTGGGTGGTGGTGGATCCTTAGACTTGCTGGGTGCCAACATGAGAAGAACCATATTGAATCAAATTAATTCCCAACAGAAATAGGGATTAGGTTTATATCCTGGTAAAATGAAGATGGCACTTTTTAATTAGATGCCTTTTAAAATTCTTATGTAGAGAAAAATGCTTGTCTAATCTACTGAAGGTGATTGGCTTAGGCAGTTATTTTTCGTGGGTCATACTGGCCATTACAGAAACAGACCTTCAGTTTTCCAGACTTCTCCAAGTCCAAAGAGAGTCCTTCACCTTAAACACGTTGTCTTCCTGCTTCTGGTAGTGTGAAGCTGTGGTCAGCAGGATTCAATTACTTTGTATTGCTGATCTTGCGATTACCAGCTGAACATTGCCATAGTACTAGAAAAAAATTACATTTCCTTGTGCCATTTCATAAAGTGAAAAGACCCATAGACATGGATGTTCAAACAGAAAATATTTTGTTTGAGAAGTTTTGTTGTACCTCTTTTTGAAGTGCCCTACTTCAGATTTCTGTTTTAATCAGCTTTGGTCCCAGGCAAGAATAAGATGCTATGAAGCCTGTGCTATTACTTTTATTTGCATCTCTGGTCTTCTCTATGATGAATTAGGAAGAAATTACTACATTAAACCACAATACATTTCCTAGCCTGGGAAAGAGATTATTTTTCTATGAACAGTGATTAAATACCTCAGTGGTTTTTTTTCCAGCCATTCCAGCAGTTGAAGACTTTCACAAGATGGAATATCTTGTGAGGTTAAAAAAAAAAAAAAAAAAAAAAAAAAAAAAATAAAAAAAAAAAAAAAAAAAAAAAAAAAGGCTAGAACAAAGCAAACATAAAAGTTACATGGCTACTAGATAAAGAGCAGCTTTGCCTAGTTTGTATATTAAACAATGAGAAGCTGGGTGGTGTTCGTATTGGTGTGGGTGGTTGTTTTGGGTTTGGTTTTTTTTGGTTTTTTTTTTTTTTTTTTTTTTTTTTTTTTTTTTTTCTGGTGGAAGAAGGAAAGGTCTTAAGTCTGACACTTGTGATAAGTTCTGGAAGTTCTAGGATTAAAGTGCAGCACAGTGAAATTTGATGACTGAGTTTCCCATACAGTCATGGAGGAACAGTGCCCTCTGTACCACCAGGTTCACTTCTCTCAGATATTCTTTCATAATGGTGATGTACAACTGCTGTAAGTCTGTACTGCTTCTACCAAAAGCTCTTTGTATAATGGCTTAGGATAGTTTGGTAAAAATGCAGACTGCATGCTTGTTGCTAGTGCGCTGAGTAGTGTGGTCTTGCCTAGCTTTCCCAAAATTTTTGTTGCAAAAGATACTAACAAGTGTTATCAAAAGGACAATAAAACAAGAGATTTTGCTAAAAATTGGTGATGTCTCTTTGATTGTGATTATTTCAGGCAATCTTTTCAATGCTGGTTACAAGAAAGCTGGAAAAAATATTCGCAGGGAAACATTTAAATGCTTGAACAGGTTTAAAGAATTAACTAGGGT